AGGGAACGTCCACAAGGACTTAACCCTACACAAAAAATACAGGCAGCTAAGAAATTCTGAGAGCAGGAGAAACAGTCTTCCCCAGGGAAGAACACACCAGCTTGTTATCCACCACCAGATGGTCAACCTTGTAAAAATAATATACACAAATAACATTACATAAACTGAGCAGGTTACATTTAGGAATATATAACAGAAATTAAGAAATAAAGAAGCCATGAATTTGAAAGAACAAGGAGAGGGCTATATGAGAAGATTTGGCGCAAGGAAAGGAAAGGGAAAATGATGTAATTACAATCTCAAAATAACTATGCTATAGACCTCAGACATTATCTGGTGACATCTTTAATCATTGTGTTGGCAGAAGCTAGTAATCTATTAATATACTCTAAGAAGATTTGCCTAATAGTCACAAGAATGGATGTTAGGATAAACACTGAGGTTGGCAATAAATGGCTATTAGGGAAGCTAAAATTAACCCAAGGTAATTTGTTTCTGGATATGCAAGATTCCAACTATCCACAATCTACCTTCTAATCAGTTAGCTGCCTTGTAGATTATTTAACACACGGGGTGTGGATTTTTTCTGGGAATTTCTGTTTATAATCAGTCACTCAGCATTTTGAGACTCCTCTGCATTCCTCGTGGTTTCTCAGTAGGCTCAATCATGCTGACCTTCCTGCCTGGAACTTCTACACAGCCAATCTAAAAGCTTGGAATCCCATAATATGAGAGGAAAGGCAAGCCTGGAGTGCTTCATGTCAAGCGGTTTCCTCTCCCATCACTGATGAAGAATTGGCTAGCAGTTCACTTACAAGAGAAAGTGTGAACACCCTCCATGATAGGAAGTGGTTTACAATGCCCTATGGGTCTCTATGAGTCACTGAGCAAAAGACAATCTAAAATCCACCCAGTTCAGGAGTATTAAGTTTTTAAAAAGCCAGTCCTTTCCCTACTTCCCATTGGACATCTTTAGAGGTTGGAGATATAGCTCAGTTCAGTGGTAAAGCACTTGCCTAGCAAACATAAGGCACTGGATTCAATCCTCAGTGTTGAAAAAGCACCAACAGCATTGGGAAAAAACAAAACAAAACAAAACAAAAATCGCAACAACAAAAGCAAAAACCAAGGAAATGAAGACCATTAGATATTTCAGTGAAGGATGCTATCATGAGAGACCTGTGTTGCCCCTTCTAGTATTTTGTAAGGAGGTAGGTAATTCATTCGTTCTTTCCTGTTCCTCTTCCCGCATTTCATCTATAGCATTCTCATTGAATTGGAGGCTATTCCGTGTCTGGTTTAGTCCACAATGAACACCCGCAGTTAGCTATCACATGAAAGGGAATCCTGCTGGAAGGCTGGTGACCTTGAGAAAAATGACTTCCTCTGTCTAGGCCACATTTATGGAGAGCCTGGACTGGCAGAAAACAGCTGCCTCCACCATTTCATTTTAGCTTCTTTCAAAATAATCTTCTTTCACAATGAAGAGGGGGCCAGGGATGTAGCTCATCTGATAGAGTGCTTGCTTAGCATGTTTGAAGGTGTGGGTTCCATCCCATGCATCAAATAACTGAGGTATGCATACTATATAGTGAGTCTGAGGCCAGCCTCGATACAGGAGGACCTGTTTGAAAAACAAACAAAATTAATGAAAAGATACACAAAGAGCAATACAGCAGATAAGACTCCATCTTGCAATCTTCTGCAGATCATGATTGTAGAGAATTCCATGAAAAAGAGGGGCAGGGGAGGGAGTACTCTGGTACAGGAATAATGTAGAAAGCTGGTTTTCTCTACAAAATCACTGTAGTATGGGCTGCTGTTTTCCCAGCTGGTAAGTGCTATTTAGGTTGTTAGTGACTACAGGGATGCAAAAACCAACTTAAATACACTCTTTCCATCATTTGGACAGAAGTCTACTTTTATGTTAGAAAGCCATAAAAATCCATGACCTAAATATAGAAACTTGGGCATTTCCATGTATACCACCAGACTTCCACATTGCTTAGATAAAACACAATTAATGCAATGTCTAACATGACCCAGTGGTATTTTGGGTAATTATATTGACAGCAGTACAGGATATTATCAGCAGGATAGCATCAGGAATCTGTCTCCAACCAAATCCCATAGGCTTAGCAACATGTCAAAGTGGAAACAAGGAAGGTATAAAACTCAAACCCCCAAACAAGACCAACCCCCAAGAACCACTAAAACTACAGGTGCAATTAAGAATCTATGCTCAAAAAGGGTGTAGTTTTGTGGCAAAGCATTTGCTTAGCATGCACAAATCTCTGGGTTCTTTGGAAACAGTGAAATAAATAATAAGTTGGGGGCTACATAAAACAATGTGGTCAAAATAAAAGGAAACCCAAGAAAATAAAAAATAAAAGGAAACCCCAAAGTGCACAGTTGATCTCTTATTACCACAGAGAATTCAACAAACTGTTACCCAAGATTGGACACAAGTCATTTGTGATGTTTTAATAAAATATGGCTTGTCCTCAATAAAATTCTGTGCTTTCATAAATGTAGATTGATATTATATCAGCCTCATCTTATAGGTACTCTAAAAGAAGGCAAGACCAGACCTCACATCCAGTACCTAGGCCTTTAGTATGTAAAGATTATGCTGTCTCTTTACAGTTTATACCTTCGCTGGGCTCACTAAGTAAAGATGATTTTACACATAATTTTTTAAAAGTGTTGAGAATCTCCACTCCTGTCTCATTCCCCCATTCCAAATCCCACCCATTGGGGAACTTGGCCTCACTCCTCCCATTCCAGACCCCAACCCTCAGAAAGCTCACCAAGGATCAGCTCCTACCCCAGAGCGGCTCAAGACCACACCTATAGGGTATTTAAGACCTGCCACGTGCTCTCTCTACTGCCTTCCTAGAGTCATGTGGGGGTGCTCTTCTTTTCCTTGCTCTACTCATTAAATCTGGTCCTATTAATTCGGTCTGATTAGGCTTATTGCATCGGCAGAGGATACCCAATAACTGGGAACCCAATACTTATCAAAAAATAAGGATGTTCAGTTGGCAGATCATCTGCCTAACATGCAGAAATCCCTGGGTTTCATCCCCAGCATCACATAAAACCAAGGCTGGTGATGCAAACCTAGAACTTGATAGGAAAGGCAGGAGGATCACAAATTTAAGGTTAATGCCCATCTGCTTTGCAAGATCAAAGCCAAGCTACATGAAAACATTTGTCAAGAAAAGAAAAGAAAAGAAAAGAAAAGAAAAGAAAAGAAGGGCAAAGGAGAGGCAAGAGTGGAGAAAAACATGACCCAAACAGGCCCATTAAAAAAATAGTTCACTAGCATTCCAGCTCATGATTGGGTCAAGGTGTTATTGAACATGAACTCATAAACCACAATGTGCACAGAAATGGCCCAAACATTGCTAGCTATTCTCTCCAGGGAGAAAATGTAATAACACAGAAAAAATGCCAAGGAGAAAGGTGATACGGATTTATGTCAACCTCACTTCCTCATCTTCCCACACACACTTTAAGCAGTCATTCCTGTTTATGACCTATCCCAGGCTGATTGGTGCAAAACAAGAGAAAAAACAACAGAAACTGACATTTTCTTTTTTTCTTTTTTTTAAAGTGAGAAGTATTATTAGAAAGGGGAGAGAGGGGGAAGGAAACAGAAAAGAGGTAAAGAGACACAGAGAGAGGACAGAAGAGAAGAGGGAGACAGGAAAAATCCTGTCTGCCCCAGGGAACATCGGGGAGAGAACTAGAAAAAGAGCAGAAAGAGCAGAGTCAAAAAAGAGCTGACATTTTCTTTTTTAGAGTGAGAACTTATACTGAGGCATGGCTTCAGGAATCCAGTGATCAAGGTTGCTTTCTTATTAAACAGTCTTGGAGGCTCTTCCATATCTTTCATGGACTTGGGAGTTTCTATCATTTTACCAGTGATTTAGAGATTATCAGAAAAATAATCTGGCCAACACATTTTAAGATTGCACAAAAAGGAGGATGGGAATTGGCAGAATGAGGGCTGAATAGTAGGTATTTGGAAGACAGGACCAGAATTGAGAAAAGATCAGAGGAAATTAAAAGGGGATTCGTTTAAAAACAGCAGAATGAGAAGGGTTAGGGCTGTAGCTCTGTTGGTAGAGTACTTGTCTAGAATACACAAAGTCTTTGGTCCATTCCCCAGATCCATATAAACTGGTCATAATGGTGCATGCCTGTAATCCCAGCACTTAGAAGGTTGAAGCAGGAGAATCAAACATCCAAAGTGTTTCTTGGCTATTATTATAATACAGTACAAAGGTGAGGGACATACCAGTGGGTGAGAAACAGACCCAGACCTACATACAGAACTTATGTGGAAAGTTAATTGGGGAAGGTAGGATAATAAAGAAAGGAAAGAGAGATAGAGACAGATAGAGAGACACAGAGAGAGAGACACTGTTTTCTCAGAGAAATGAGAGACGAGATAAGAGAAAGGAAATGGAAGTTTTTTCTTTTTTCTTTCTTTCTTTCTTTCTTTCTTTCTTTCTTCCTTCCTTCCTTCCTTCCTTCCTTTCTTCCTTTCTTTCTTTTTTTGTTTTTTCGAGACAGGGTTTCTCTCTGTAGCTTTGGAGCCTATCCTGGCACTGGCTCTGGAGACCAGGCTGGCCTCCAACTCATAGAGATCTGCCTGTCTCTGCCTCCCGAGTGCTGGGATTAAGGGTGTGCGCCACCAACGCCCGTCGGAAGTTTTTTTCTTTTTCTTTTTCTTTCTTTTTTTTTGATGGGTTTGTTTGCTTTTTATTTGTTTGTTTTTGAGACAGGGTCGAGTGTAGCCCATGCCTGCCTTAAAACTCACAAGAGATCCTCCTGCATCTACCTCCTTAGTGCTGGCACTATAGGTGTTTGAACCTGACTACCCCCAGTGTTTGCAGACACTTTTTAACAATCCTGTTGTTAGTGACAGAGATGACTATGTTCAGGGTCTCCAGTGTCTTCCAGTGACTTCACTGCCACTGTCATGGCCACTATTGTGGGTTCACATCCTTTTTCACCAGGAGGGCAATCTGCTCCAAAAGCTGCCACTCCCCTTCCTGGGCTTTGCTCTTGCTTCTCCATCTCAGCAGCTCAACCTGGTGGTCCTGGTGGTGCATAGGACAGTAGCTCTGTGGTTCACACAGCTCTGTATATTCTGGAAAAAAGTCTCTGTAGCCCCCTTTGAGGATATACAGCTCTGGGTAGTACAATGCTGGATACTGGTTCAGAGCTCTGTCTTTTTCTCTCAGAGAACGGCACATTCGGGGGCCTCGCTCTGAGGAGAATTCACAGAGGAACACAATGATGATTCTTTTCTGAATGTCCAGAGGGACAGTAGGCTTCTTCAGAAAGAACTCATGCAGTTCCTTCTGGCTGTACAGGTTTAAGGCTCCCAGGATGTGTCCTCCCAGGTACTCATATGGATAGTGGCAATCGATGTTGTAAAACTTCTCAATCAGACCCTGGAACTTTACAGACGGTAAAGCAGCCACTGTGCCTGAGTGGATGTACTTCAAATCTTGGTGTTTCCCTGACACCTTTGGCAGCACACACACCTTGGAGAAATCACCAATAAGGTGCCCTTGGTCAGGTTCTTCCTCCTCCATCTGAATGGCATTAATGCCACAGAGAGAGACCATAGTCTTTAGACTTAAGCCCTTGGTATCTTGGTCTTCCAGGGAAAACTCCACTGACTCCTCTGAAAGCCCTTCTTGGTCTTCTAGCTTTAGATTCTTACTCAGTTTTGGAACTGTAGTAGTGGGACTGCCCAGATACCTCATTTCATTTTCCATCAAGATTCCATTTTCCAGTAAAGAAAGGGGGGAAGCCAGAGGATCTCCAGGCATGTTTTGAAACGTTGGGGTCCTAGGTGCCTCCCACTCCAATGTCTTTAGATTGGTGTTTATGTTTTCTTTATTTGCAGATAAGCCACACACTGCATCTTTCTTTCTGTGGCCACGGTCCAAAGGACCTCAGGATGTACAGTTAGTTAGCTGAGAAGAATCATCACCAGGACCCAATGAAAGGCATCCCAGTGCAGCTTCTCTGTAGTACTCCAAATGCTTCCGAAGTTTTTTTCTTAAAGAGACCTCTGCACCTGTGTACAGATCTTGCCATAAGCAGATGCACTGTGCCAGATTGCCAAGGGGTGGGGCCAGGTCTTCCTAGATTATTATAGCTATATAAGGAGTTTCAGGCCAGCCTGGGATACATGACACCTGTATCCCAGTGCCAAACAAGTGCTTGGGGTGTACCTCAGTTGGGGGAGTGATTGTCTAGCGTGCACCCAGCCCTAGGTTCCATCACTAAAATCACATAAATAGAGTATGGTGTTGCACATCTATTGTTCTAGCACTTAGGAGATGGAGGTAGGAAGGAAAGTTTAAGGTCATCCTCGGCTACATGAGACCCTGTCTCTAAATAAAACAAAATGCAGCAAAATGGGGGAAAAGAAGCAAAATACAAATGTCTACCAGCCATGGTTATAGTAATTTTGTTTCTGTGATGGTTAATTGTGATCATCAACTTTGTAAAAATTACAATTACCATGGAAACAAACTGTTGGACATGTTTGTGGAGAATTCTCCAGATTAATTGAGGCAGGAAGATCCACTCTAAATGTATCTAAACATATCTCTCTGGGCTGAAGTCCTGGACTAAATCAAGCGCAAAAAGCTAAGCACCAACATCCATACATTCATTTCTCTCTAGTTTTGGTTTTTGGGGTTTTGGTTTTCTTTCAGGGTTTCTCTGTCTAACAGTTCTGGCTGTCCTGGAACTCTGTTGAACAATCTGTCCTCCAACTCAGAGATCTGCCTCCCTCTGCCTCCAGAGTGCTGGGATTATAGGCTTGTGCCACCACCACCTGGCTCTCTCTGCCTTTTGATTGTGAATACAATATGACTATCCACCTAACACTACAGTTGCCAGAACTACTGGCTCTGTTGCACTGTACTTTCAAACTGTGAGCTAAAACAAAACCTCCATTCCTTAAGTTGCTTTTGTTGGATATTTGGTCACAGAAACAGAAGCACTAACCAATGTGGCTCCTAAAATAAAACCTTAAAATATTACCATGACAAGCACAAAAATACTTTCTCACACCAATATATCATATGCAGTCTTGATGACTTGTATTAAGAGAAAAGAAAAATGAGACCCAAATGATCAATTCAACTGCCCAGTGGGCTCTCAGGATAGGTTTTGATTGAGACATTAAAATGTACTGTTTTTAATATATTTTTCAGCTACATTGAGACAGCAGTGATATATAAGAAATGACATCTACTTAAAATACGTGCTAGGAGGAGTTTTGATTTTGATATATTCACCTGTGAATTATTATTTAACAATAAAAAAACTAAAAAATAGCAGGGAGTTGGTGGCACATGCCTTTAATCCCAGCACTCGGGAGGCAGAGGCAGGCGGATATCTGTGAGTTCGAGGCCAGCCCGGTCTCCAGATCGAGTGCCAGGATAGGCTCCAAAGCTACACAGAGAAACCCTGTCTCGAAAAACAAAAACAAACAAACAAACAAAAACCTTGAGTCAGAACCAGAATGATCATAGAAGTGGCAGAGAAGCGACTCCTCTCTCTCATTCCTCCTTCCAAAAGGTCATAAATTTTCTCTGTCTTCAGCCCTCCAGAAACCTCTAAGGTTAGTTTTAGTCAGCTAGTAGCTAGCTCCGCCCTCTGATTCAAAGCAAATTTTGTGGTCAGTCTTGGAAGCGTCAGAATGCGATCAAAATATCACACAACACTTATACTGTTACAAGGTGCCATGTAAGATGTGGAAACAGAAATAGGTCAGTAACCACCTGATGTCTTCCTAATGACTCGGCTGGGATTCCAACAAGCTCACAATGGGAGTGAATGTAGATTTTGGTGTGTTTTCCTCAAATTCCTAAGGGCCCCATGGAGATCCACTTTCAACAAAACTTGAAAGAAAAAACAAGCTGCCATGAATAGCCAGAACCCAAGGAATGAGGTCATCCTTCCCCTGGAAATTCCCTTCCACATCTACTGGGCTTTTGTGTCCACCTGGATGAGAAGGGCCACAGAGTAAGTACCAGTTTCCTCCCTCACTCTGAAAAAAATCAGAGTGGAGGGAGGATTTTACATTGGGGTAACACCTTCCAAATACTTAAACATCAGTTCACTTCACCCATTCCAGGCACTCACTGATTTGGTTTGGGTAAGGAGCTACAATAAAGGCAGAATGAACTAGAAGTTCACTTCACTAAGCTAAATGCCTCCTATAATGTTGACGAAACACAGCCCCCAATCTATACCCAAAGACTGTCGGATGGACACTTTCCTCTCAGTGTCTTTAAGCTGAGATATCTTTGAGAGAAGAACAAGAACATGAGGAGGTACTTTCTGTTGAGTAGGGGAACGGAAACGTGTTTGCCTGCTATCAGTCCTTTTAGTCACAGTGATCTGGCTCCTATCCAAGAAGGCCTGAACTTGCTGAGAAGCCTGATTCCCTGTTCCCAGTGCTTAGCCAAATGAAAGACGGGGCTGACAGAAACAGTGGAGCATGAGGCATGGGTTAGCTTGGGAACACCAGCTGGGAACTGGTTATTCCAACATGGCTAGAGATTCTTCTAGCAACAACTGTCAAAGAACGTGGAGCTATAGAAATTTAGTTTTTTAAAAATTTCTTTTTTAGAAAGGACCTTTCAACCACAATGTTCTTAAATGTCTTTCAAGAAGAGAGTTGCTTCAAAGTAACATTTATTTATTGCATATTCTCTCTCTGTGTGTGTGTGTGTGTGTGTGTGTGTGTGTGTGTGTGTGTTTGTGTGTGTGTGTGTGTGTGTGTGTGTGTGTCTGTCTGTCTGTCTGTCTGTCTGTCTGTCTGTCTGTCTGTCTGTCTGTCTGTCTGAGCATGTGCATGTATCACCTTCTACCAGGTGGAACCTGGGAGTTGAACTTGGGTCATCAGGCTTGGCAGCAGGCAATCTGATCTGCTGAGCCATTTCACTGGCTCTTCAGAAGCACTTGAAACATAAAACTAAAGACTGGTATCACAGAAAGGATCCTTTTTTTGGTTGGCTCTTGAATTGTTTTTTTGGGGGGATATTGGGTCCCTGCACATGCCAAGAAAATACTGAAGTTACCCTCCAGTCTTTTTTTTTCTAAATAGGGTCTCATTAAATTACCCAGGAGGGCCTTGAATTTGAAATTCTCCTACCTCAGCCTTCACAGTAGCTGATATTACAAGTTTGTACCACCAGGCCAGGCTTGCTGTTACATGCTCACATTCTACAGAGCTCACAAAGTTCCAAGATACTGTGACAAAGGTGGAGTGGGAGCACAATCTCCACTTCCTGGCTTTAAATAGAGTGTAATTTCCATTAGGGATCGTAGAAAATACAATTCCAAATACCAGGCTTGTGGGTGAAATGGACTATAGGGAAAGTATACCTTACAATAAGGAAAGCATGTTATCCACGTCCTATCTTGCATTCCTGTCTTGCATTCCGGTCTGCCAGACTCTGGAGCTGGGGACTTTTTGCATTCTGCCTCTCAGAAGCATTATTGTCACTCCTGTGATCTCTTGGTCCCCTCCTGTTGTATTTGAGGAGGAAGCTGTAGAGTGAATAAACTGTGTAGCACAAAAGCATTAACCACGTGACTGCAAAGAAAGGCTCCCTCAGTTCCGAGCCTGCCAGGGCAGTCAGGAGCTTCTGTGGAATCAATCACTCTCCGTTGGTGGAGGGCGTCATATCCCCAACCAGTTCCTGCCCGGGCTGCAGAAGACAAAACAAAACTGTTCACCAGTGATGGGAAAGAGACATTTGGTGTTCTTGTTGGCTTCCTGGATAATTGTAAAGTGTTATTGGCATTCAAAGGAAACCTTCCTCAGAGATCTACAAATAAGGGAGGGTGACAGAAGGTGAGCCAAAGAAAAGATTAGAGACCCCAAGAGAAACCCAGAGCAAAACCATTAACAGAAGAAAAGAAAGCAATTTTAATTTACAAAAGAAATAAGACACCCACCCCAGGAACTTAGAAAAGTAGCACACGATGAAATTGGGTGAGATAGGAGCTCTTTAACTCATCATGGCTGGTGTTCGAAATTCAAAGACGTGCTACTGCAAACTATTTCTCAAATTAGAAACTGACAGAGTAGGAGGCAGACTTTTTTAAATGTCCATATTAGACACTTAAAATACAGACAATCTTTGTAGGCAGAATTGGGAAACAAGAAAAGATTAGAGATAATAGAGTTATTAGCTTTGAATGGTCAAAAATTTTCTAGCATATGGAGTTGATCTTTATTAAGTTGCCTAGGAACACTATCAATACAATATTCAGGCTGCCCTTTGTGAATCTTCTTTTTCCTTCTAGACATGGTCTTGCTCCGCGGCCTAGGCTGACTTTGAATTCACGATTGTCTCGTCTCAGTCTCCCAAGCACTTGAATTACATGCTTATGCCACCATGCCTGACATTGTGAATTTTTTAAATTAAAAATATATTGCATTTTATTTATTTATTGTGTGTATGTATGCATATGTGTGGAGGTCAAAAGACAACTTCAGGAGTTGATTCTCTCCTTCTACCATGTAGGTCCTGGGGAACTGAACATATGTCTTTAGGCTTGGTATCAAATGCCTTTACCCACTGAGCCATCTCATCAGCTCTATTATGAAACTCTTAATGAATTTTTCCCAGTGGTTAAAATAACATTAAATGTGAGAGCTTCGAATTTCACTTTGAGATGGAAGTTTATTTGGCAGGACTAATGAGTTGACTTTTCCTACACTCTGTGTATTACATCCAAGATGAATTGTAGGGATCCCAAGGTATGAGACCTTTCGAATCCTTTTGGAACAAGGTAGTTCAGAGAATTTCTTTAGGGCCACCTCCCCCAAAGAAAGTGTTGATGGCTAGCTTTAGGAGAGAGGATTTCTCATCCCTATGACCTGCCTTGAAGAGAAGGAGTTTGGGATTATCTTCTCTCTGTGCAGAGAAGAAGCTGGGCTGGGAGAAGAACAGGAGCAGGCCGCAAAAGGGGCTTTGCTTTTGAGGGCCTTCCAGTGTCTTTAGGTAAAAGTACTGTGCATGAAGAAGCAGCACACTTTGCGGCACTGTTTTCTGAGGTACAACACAATCCAGAGACCGGGCCTGTTTTATTCCTTAAAACATGGAACTGGGCTTGACTCTCAGACTGTACAAAGCTTGCCAAAGGAAGAAATGCATTTGTTGTAAGTACATTGTACACCTATTCAGTAACTTTCCACTCTTTTAAGAGTTTGCTTTTATGCTTATTTACTGATGTATTTATTTATTCATTTAGTTTTGAGTCAGGGTCTCAGATACTCCAGGCTGGCCTCCAGCTTGTTCTGTAGCTCCAAATCCATAGTGATCAGGTACCTCTGGTATCCGTGGGCGCCCACACACATGCACACACACACCCTACACACATATACACACAAATAATATCGATTCAGCAGTCACTATTTGTACTTTAGTTCTGTGGAATTAAGTGTGTTGTATTCTTGCCCTCCTCCATTTGCTCACATCATCTGGTACCTGATTCTGTAGTGATCCTTCAAAGTAAAAGACCTGCCCAACAAAAATTGATGTCAGGGGCCTGAGATAGACAGAATGTTCTGGAAGGGGTACCCTATGGTTTTCTGCAACTAGGATATGCTTCCCTTTAGCACTGAATTTACGGTCATATAAACTGTATTGTTTCATGAAGACACAAAGAGCCGGAAACCCTATTCAGGGGCATCAAAAGCACTCTGTCTTTTAATGTCTTGCTTCATTTTCCACACCTCCTTCACCCACTCTCATTTCAGATCCCGTCCCCTCACAAGTGCTGATCCCAGTGACCACATTTTACTTGTGTGGCCTCCAGAAAAAAAATTCTGGAGTCCAGAGCATAGAATCAAATGTCTTTGGCATCTAAGAGGACCCAAGGACTTAGATCACGAAGAGGAAAAACAATCAGAATCCCCTTAGCTAGGAAATGGCTCAAAACCCATTCCCCCTTCTAGAATAGCAAAGCCTAGGAGGGATTTGAAATAATCCAGATGTTTTATGTTCTACTGGGGATGAGACCAGTGGAAATACAGAGCATCTGCTCAGAACTGTGAGCAACCTAGCTTCAGAGAGCTGAAATTATCATGGCCACAATTCTTCCTCTATTTCTGGGGCACCCCAGGCTGCTTCTCTGCCTGCTTCTTGAACAGGTGCTACTTTGACCCTCCAGGTCCCCATGCTTCTCAGATTCTCCTCCAGCACTGGCTCCTGTCTCAGGTACATGCACCGCTCAATGCCAGCAGCCTAACAGGATTTGGAATCACCTAGGAGACCTATCCCTACGTGTGTGTACTGAGGGAAGACCCACCCTGAATGTTTGCAGTCTTGAGTTAAGCTCACAGACTGAATAGAGGAGAACGGAAGCTGAGCACCAGCATTCACCCGTCTCTACATCTTGATGGTGAGCACAGTGTGACCAGATGTTTCGTTCATACCGCCTTCCCCAACACTTGGTACTAGAGCTTCAAACAACAGCAACAACAAAATCCTTTCCTTTTCCTAGTTGGTTTTGTCAGACATTTTATCACAGTATTGTCACTAGTCCACTGATTGTTGAGATTAGTCAGGGTGCAGCATACCAGGGTATTTGCTTGCTGGGGCGGATGCTAGCATCCGCTTGATCACAAGGCCACCCACCCACCTCCATAGCCCTGTGTTCTCAGAACACCGAAGGAAATCTTTAATTTCTCACACCAAACAGCAGCAGCTGTCCCCATTTTACCACAGTCATTTTGGTACTTGAGTTAGCCAATGAAACATCTTGGGCAATTGGAAGCCATCATTGCCTCAGATTTCCTTCTATTTTGAGCCTCAGATATGTAACAGTTAAGAAAAAAAGACAAATTTTACTGGAGGCCTTGTGCTGCTACTCTCATTGCTTTATAGCCCATCTGGGGACATACAATTTACTAATGCTTCATCAAGGATTTCAGCTAAAGTATTATCCTAGGCCCTGCTCGCCATGGCACACACACACACACACACACACACACACACACACACACACAACACAGCTAATGGTATTCAGCTAAGAATTCAATGCTGTCTCCACTTTTCCCCCCTCTGAAAGAATGGCACATCAAGGAACAATTCCCATCAAAGTGGGATTTGATGTCAGGAGGAGACAAATGAGGCTTGCAAAGTGACTTCCTTAGCATAACCAACAAGAAAGGAACCAAAAAGGATTCGGTGTTGTTCAATAGGAACAAGACACTCTTTTCAGAACACTGAGGCTGAGTTAGAACAATGCTTCCCCACCCCATCCCCCAACACTTTCTAAATTTTCAGATGAGGCCATTGATCTCTTTTCCTAGCAGGAGAATTCTTGAAGGCTCTCAGAAAGAAGCAACTTTGTCCTTCTGTGTACAAAATCTTCAAGCCTCCATAGAGGGAGGAAGTCTGGCTGAAGCTAGTGTGGGGGAGGAAGCAAAAAGACTACAAAATGTATTTTTCACAAGGGTTTTATGAGCTAACAAAAGCGATCAGAGTGAACACGGGCCCTGCAAGTTTTTCCTTCTTGTTCTCACTAGAGGTTATCTACAAAGCCCACAGGAAATGTTTAAGCAAATTTCGATGCTGTTTCTCAAGAATGACCAGGTTAAGTACAGTAATTTAGAGACTTCGTTGCTAGCAATGGTAAACCTAACCCACTCACATCCCCAACACCAAACTCAACCTTGCAATGTGAACTGACAAACTAATATTAATGAATTCTACTTACAAAGGTAGAAAGGACACCATTTTTGAAAAAAAGTTCATTCTCCCATGCTCACTTTGATTTACAAGAAGACTGAGGGACAGAAGCTTGGACGTGGATGTGATAAGCAAGGCCATGGTGAACATCCCTAATCCAAAAATTCAACATCTGAGATTGTTCAAATCTAAGATTTTTTTGAGCACTGACATGTTGCCACAAAATATTCACATCTCACCTAATGTGATCTGCCACAGCCAAAATGAAGGGACACTAAAAATACTGCATAAAATTGTCCTTGGTCTCTGTGTATATATCAAACATAAATAAATTTCATATTTAGAATTAGGCTCCAACCCCAAAGTATATTGTTGTGTATATGCAACTATTTCAAATTCTAAAAAAATCCTAAATTTAAAATACTTTTGGACCCAGTCATTTTGCATAAGGTACAATTAACCAGCATAGCCACATGTCACTGGTAGAATATAGAGGTTGGGACCCTGAATATTTTCTAGAGATTTTTTTTCACTTTTGCTGAATGTTGGATGTTTTTAATAATAAAATGTGAGGACAAAAACAACAAAAAAACCTTCATATCCTGTTGTCTGAATTAGTGACTTAAGCTTAAATAGCCAAAGTGTCGAGTTTTTGTAGGTGGTCAGTCCATAGTCCATGTGATAGAATGTCAGCCAATAATCTTCCAGATATTTAACTGCTTTTCATTCATTTACATTTTGATGTTCTTTGCAATCCTTAGATTTTTAGCAAATGGTTTTTACGGGAAAGCAAACATAAAACTAAAAAAATTGATAAAACCTTTTCTTGGAAATATATGTATGGAAATATATGTATATATATATATGGTGCATGATGGTACATTCATGAAATTTAGCACTGCAGAGGAAGAGACTAGAGGATCAGAAGTTTAAGGTCATACTAGGCTACAAAGCCAGAGGAAAAAGAATAAAACAGTACCCTATGTCTTTCAGAAAGACTGTCCTGATTTACTCTTCTGTGCTTTTTTTCTGTGTAAAATGGATCAGGCCTCTTCCTAATGGGTTTGTGGAGGGAGAGTCTCTCAGACTGGATTACAATGCCCTCAGCAGGAGAGCAGATTCTCAGCTGATTTTACCATCCAGGATGTGATGGGCCACTGGCAAATGTTTCCTCGTCTAAGTATGGATTTGCTTTATTTACCTGTACAGACATAAGTCCAGCCCCTATTAGTATTTCTGAGATCTGCACTACACAGCTTGGTGCTTGGAAACCTGACTAGAGGCAATGAGGGAGTGAAGAAAGGACAGTGACAGACACAGAAACAGAAAAGTTGGGGTGAAGTGGACTGCACACTCTGATGGAGTGGCACCAACTACCACACAACCCTGACCCTCAGGGGTGCATTTATTATGAACAGCACAGGGGGAGGAGTTACCTAGTCTTGGTAGGAGGTGTCTGTTGGCCCGAAGTATAAGGCTGTAAACATCCTGGAGAAGGAGGAGGACGCAGCAGTTGCTAGATTTTTTTTTTTTTTGGCTAGATTTTACACCCACTGGTCAATCTTTTATAGATATTTGTACTTGCACATACTGTCAACATTCAAACTTAGACCACAGGAAGGCTTTGCCCATTTCCCATGGGGTTGAAGCACTAGTCCATGACATGAGCACATGACCGTGACCATGTCAACAATTCACCCTCACTGAGGACTTCATCCACTCTTTACACACATCAGGCTTCCTCGGCT